ACAAAATCTTATCAATCTCTCTAAAAATTCTTTGTACTACATTATTTATTAATAGATCAAATAGTGTATAAAGTAAATTATTTTATTCTAAGAGTGCCTCTTTGAAGTGAGATTATTTTTGTACATGAGTAATAGCTAATTCTACTTAAGAGGAATGATACATTTCTACTTTATCTTCATTACCATTTGTATCAGTGTTTGAAACTCACCGAATCAAAAACTACTTTGTAATTGGGATTTCTTGCCTCTACCAAGTGCAAGAGATTTTGTTTATACTCAGGATTTCTTACCTCTGTCAAGTGCAAGAGACTTAGTAGAACATCAGCCGGTTAGAGCTCGAGAGAATAGACGTAGACTTTGGTAGTAAGTCGAATCACTATAAAAGAGTTTGCATCTCCTATCCTACTCTCTTTTTACTTTACTTTAAATTGTTTTATATTTATTGTTGGGTGAATTGTATAAGTTTTTTTGATTTAATATTTTATTATTACTTTTAATTTTTCACACTCTTAGTTTCTGCAATAAAAACTCAATTCACACCTCCCCTCTTGAGTTGCCTTTTGGGACAACACAGATATGATGAGAAGGTAATTGTAGAGGTTAGACTTCCCTTAAAATACATTAAAAATGTTTTGACAGATTGAAGGTGAGTTGTAGTAGGTGCATATGAGAACTAATATACCTTATTCACAGTGAAGCAAATGTTAGATTCTAGTAAGTGTGCAATATTGGAGAGCACCTACTCTACTTCTATAAAAGATTGGACCATACAAACTTTTATATTCATAAAAAGACAAGTTAGCATTAGAGGCCATGGGTGTGGCTACACTTTTGCAATCTATTAACCCTGCCTTTTTTAGGATTTCTTGATTATAATGCATTACATCCTCTTTTCTTAAAATCTACATACCAAAAAAGTAGGAAATATCTCCAAGATCCTTCAAAGCAAAGATACTGTTTAGCTCCTGCATCACTTTTCTAATGATTGAATGGTTTGAGCCAATCACCAAGATGCCATCCACATATTTTAAAAGGACAAGCATGTGGTTTGAACATGATTTGTAAAACATAAATGAGTTTGATTTGGAGTTAATGAACCCCGAACTAGTGAGACAATCACTTAACTTGTTTCACCAAGCCCTTAGATTTTGTTTCAAACCATAAATGGGCTTTCTTAACTTGCAAATGTGGGTAGGCAGCTTGTAATCTTCGAACCTTGGGGATTGGCTGATGAATTATCTTAGATAAATCCCCATTTAGGAAATGATTATTGGCATCTAATTGTCTTATATGCCCTCCAAAAGAAATAACTAAGTGTAAGACAGTAGTAGACTTAACAATTGGGTTAAAGGTTTCTGAGTAGCCTATCCTATAAGTTTGGTGGAAGCCTATTGCGATTAGCCTTGTCTTACACCTTTCCAATGACCCAATAGAATTAAGCTTGACTTTGAATATCCACTTACAACCAATGATTTTTTGTGCCTTATTTTTGGGGAAAAGCTCCCAATTGTTATTTATTTTAGGGCTTTGAGTTCTTGTTGCATTGCAACTACCCAAAGAACATGCTGGTTTCCAACTGGATATTGATTTTAATTCTCATTCTCATACTAGTTGAATAGTATTCTATATATCACCATACTTGTATATATATTTGAACATATAATTTTTTTTGTAAATTTTTTTATCTTAAAAAAATATAACTACAATAATATAAGTATACAATTAAAAATAATAATACAACTACGAAAAATAAAATAAGAAAAGAAAAGAAAGAGAAGAGATAAAACATCAATATCTAAGTAATATCATTAGTTAGAGCTTCTTTTTTTAAACCAAATAAAATTTTATATTATCTAAATATATTTAAAATATTTTAAATGTATTTAAATAAATATTTAAAATTATTTTAATATATTTTTAAACATATTTATATATTATGAGTACAGGACGAGTCAGATATCACAATACATGTACCTATACCCGTACTCATACCTGGTTAAATATCCATGAAAATTCCCAAACTCATCCTTGTACCCATTTTGTAATATTTATACTCATACCTAAAAGGATAAATTTTGCATATACCTGATAAGAATAGGTAAATTTTTTCCCTAAGAAAAAACCTTGCTTGTAAGAAAACTCGATTCCATCAAAGCCCAAAAGCTCAATAGTTTAACTAACTTCTCTGTGTTAACCCTTAATTCCAAGACCACTGTGATGTCTACACTATCTCCTGCAAGAAAAGTTTATAGTTTCTATAGAAAAGTTGGTCTTCTGGACATGATTTTAAAGAGGGAAGAGAGAGACCAATTCCTAAACCTGCATTGAAATTTCCCGGCCATCCCTGAGTTCCAAGTCCACTAATTGCTGTAATTGAGCCACTGATATAGCACTCTAGGCCACCAGATTTACAGTTGGGTCATGCCCAATTGCATCTCTTGGATCTGCAGCCCTTCTTGGTTCTCTGGATCCAAAACAATCCACTATGATGGCATTAATATTATTACTTTTATTTGTTGTGATCCTTACTTGAATGGGTTGAAGACTTGAACGTGCTTGAAGAACCCTCCAGGGTTTTTTATTCTCCAAATGGGTCCTTGAATGTCGCGGGCCTTGAAAGTGGCCTGCACTAGGATGGGGCTTGGCAGTTTTCGCCTCCAAGGCGCCTCTCTCTCTCTCTCTCTCTCTCTCTCTCTCTCTCTCTCTCGTTTTGAGGGATGACCACGCAGTATGCCTTTGGAAAAATATAAAAAGAAAAACTGATAAATATTAATTTTTAAATTTGACTCTATCCAACATATGTATCAAGGTTAGGAAAATCGGACTATTTATTGAATTAGAAAAATTACTGATTCACAATTTACAATCCAATCGCTAATTGAACCAGTGACATCATAATTATATAATTTATATAAATATATATTATAAAAAAATAAAAAATAAACAACGTTCAATCAAATCATTATAATGTATATAAAATAGAAATAATAAATCATTTATCATATTCAAAATAAAAATAAAGTATCCAAATTCAAATTTAAGTTTACAAAGCTCACAAGTTCACAAATTTAACGCTCATCACATGAAAACAATTTAAGTAACTAAACAAACATAACTATCAAAGACTATTTCTAAATAATAATTCCAATTTCAAATAATTCAAATGATGATAGCTTGTAGCAATCTATCACTAGACACCCAACACTTTGGGCAACAGCGTAGTTGTTATTGATACGCTTCAATCCTTGATAGTTTAATATGCAAGTATGAGAATCATTGGATCCAACACTACCGTAATCAACAGACATTGCAACAGAACCTCCATCGTTACTCATTTGTAAACTCCCAAAATTGTCAACTGACATGTTGGATCCATCCCAAGCTTGTGGTAAAGCCTTTGAGACAGATCATAATTATAATGGTGGTTAGTTAGACCTATAATCCTAGTAAATTTTGGTGCCTCCAGCATTTTCTCATAAGAGTGTGGTACTTCAAGTTTTTCCCATAAAAAAATAGCTACAGAATTCCAAGTGCCAATATTTTTTAGATTTTTTAGCTTGAAGTTTTTATTATCTATATGAAATTAGTTTTTCATAAAATTTTATAATTATTTCGTTAATTGAAATAGATTAACCTCAACATGTCCACATTCAAAAGCTTTTACCAAAGCCCTACAGCCAAAATGATTCGATATAAACAAATATATCAGACTCACATAAAATCACACAACAATAACTTCATTAAAAATTTCTTATCAAACGAAAACTAACGTTAAAACATAACAGTCTATGGAAAACTCCAAAAGTTATAGTTGATTCCACTTAAGTAGTTAGAAACATTTACCTTCAGTTCAGACAACAAATAGTTCTTAAATAATCTCTTTCTCGTACACCACTTCGTTCGGCAAAGACGATTGCAAAACAGACCCAAATATCTACCCAAAAATAATTTCCCTGCTTTGAGAAACAAAACGAACCATGTAATACAAGCAGAGGACAGTAGAGAAAAACAAACATAAGACAACAGATAGAGAGAAGGGAGAAGGGACTAACCAGAGAGAAGAACCAGTCGTTTGAGATTGAAGAAGAGCACCGAGCTCTGATTGACGATATTGTCATTGTGTTAGGCCTCATAGCGTTGATAGCAAGGCAACAACGAGGCTTTGTCCACTACGGCAGTAGGGGAAGAAAGGTTGAAGTTAGGGATTTTGCCTCTCACAATCAAGTCTATCGTTGTTGAAGAAAGAGAGAAGAGAGAAATATTTATTTTTTTAGGGAAAAATTTAACAAAAAAACACACAAACCGTCCGGTTCATGAAAGTCGCATCTGGTTTATCAGTTCAAGCAGTCGAACCAATGGTTCAAACGGTTTTGCAAAACTATAGCAGTTTTTTCATATTATCTCATTTTTTATGAAAATTGGACTGACAAGAGGACCGGTCAATGGTCCAACCGGCCAGTCCAGTCAGGTTTTTAAAACCTTGACGCATATGTTGATACTTGAGGGTTTTTAAAGTATGTGACTTCATTGCTTTCTAAGGGGAAAAAAATCCCTAATCGCCATAATTGCCTGCTGTACGTGTATCTCCAAACAACATTTGTTTAATGTACAATATTAGTAAACTGAACAAAAACATTACTTGTAACAATCAAGATATACATATATTATTTATGGAGAAAATTAATTTAATAATAATTTTATGAATATTCTATATTTGCAGTTCACTCCATTATTAAATTATAATACTTATTTTGTGAACATGAAATCAAAATGTTACTGATTAATTTTTCTTGGAGAAGGTAGCGAGGCTTCGTGACCACTGAATGTAGAAGAAGTTGCACCCACAAACTTAACTGAGAGAAAATCCAAGGCGCTTGGAAAGTCGTTGGAGCGAGCACGAGACGGAAGGAAGAAGAGCTGACAACCTTCCAAATGGTTGACGAGACATAACAATTGGAGGAGAACAAAATGCCGTTTAGCGTCAGAAACCCAAGCCAACTATGGGCACTCTTCCAAGAACCGTCGTCTCCTCTAGGTCCTCCTCGTCGTTGTCGTCTCACTCACACGTCCTTATCCGGTACGCCCCCATCCTCGTCTTCATCTCCGTCTTCGCCTTCCTCTTCCTCTTCAATATTGATACTTTCGTGTCCCGGACCAAATCAATCTCCCGCCAATCTCTCAATGAAGAACCTCGCCACCTCATCGTGAAGACCGATGCCGGTGAGAAGAAGACAATACACACATTCAAGTCTAGCCCCTCCGTGAAGGCCCAGCCCGTTGGACTCCAACGGGAATTCGAGATCACGTGGGGCGATGGCCGTGGAAAATTCCACGACGAGGGAACCCTCCTCACCCTCTCCCTTGACAAACAATCCGGATCGGGTTTTCGGTCCAAGAATGAGTACCTCTTTGCAAAGATTGAGATGCAAATAAAGCTGATTCCAGGCAACTCTGCCGGCACCGTCACCACATACTATCTTTCCTCGGAAGGAGCGACTCACGATGAGATTGACTTCGAGTTTCTGGGTAATTCCAGCGGCAATCCGTACACCCTCCACACCAACGTGTTCTGCCAGGGTAAAGGAAATAGGGAGCAACAATTCTTCTTGTGGTTTGACCCCACGGCGGACTTCCACTCGTACACGATCCTCTGGAACCCCCATAGGATCGTGTTCTACGTAGACGACACACCAATAAGAGAATTCAAAAATTTTGAATCCAACGGTATACCATTTCCAAAGAATCAGCCAATGAAGGTGTACTCAAGTCTCTGGAACGCCGATGATTGGGCGACGCAGGGAGGGCGTGTGAAGACAGACTGGAATTACGCCCCGTTCACTGCCGAGTACAAAGGGTACAAGACGGAGGCCTGTGTTTGGTCCGGAGGAGCGTCTTCTTGCAGTTCAGGCTCGAACAATGGGCCGTGGCTCGGGAAGAGCTGAACTCCACAAGCCTGGAGAGGTTGAAATGGGTGCAACAAAATTACATGGTGTACAACTATTGTGTCGACAAGTGGCGGTTCCCGGAAGGCCTTGCTCCAGAATGCAAGTTGTCTTAACGAAGCAGAACAAACGCGGCGTATGGTGCTCGTGTTACGTATAGAACTTTATTATTACTATTATTTTTGTGAGAGGAAAATACGAAAGGAGAAGTAGACATCTCCTTTTATTAATTAGATCAGCCTGCTCTGTCTATTTTGCTTTATTTTGTTTTTATTTTTGTTCGTATAGTGATTAGTGCCATGCATGGCCATTCTTGTTGGTACCTTTTTTTGGTATGCTTGTGTACCCTTTCGTTTTGTTTTGTTGGAGTCCTCATTTATAGAATCAATACGTTATTCGCCCAGGGAGAAAAGTCCTATGTTATTGGCATTTAAACATTTAAATACAATTAAGGTGGTGAGTAGGTTGTTTTTGTATTAAATCAGAATAATTTGAATTCAATTATTTATTTGCATATTTGAATTTAATTTAAAATTTTATAAAATTTGTGTTTATTATTCATTTTATTTTGTACTTAAATCTTTCAGTTTTATTTTATTAGTTACATTGTCCTAAATTTTTTAATTGATTCATTTTAGTCTATACAAGTTTGAATTTTTAATATTATATATATAAACTTATTAATTTAATAAAAATATTGTTAAGATTTAAATTTAGATTAAATTTTAATGAATTAAATTATTTAATTACATATTCGATCCATTTTTTTAAAATTACAAATGTTTATAATCTAATTTGATTAAACGGATATTTTAATAGAATTCAAATTTTAAAATTCAGATCTTAGTGAATTAAAATGTGACTTATTGATAACTATAATAATAACATAAAAAGTTTTTTGATTTATTTTATGCACCTATGTTCACTCTTTTCTATTTATATTTTTAAAAGTTTCATAAAATAAAATAAGAAATAAAACATTTCTAGGTAATAGACCGTTTATCTTGCCAAAATTTAACGTTTATTCGGTGAACTTTCAATCTTTGTAAAGGAAAAATCGACTCTGTGGTTAATCCATATGATGCTTTTGGGTAATCCATATGATGCTTTTGGGCACTAGTGAAATTGGGTCTTACGATAGAAGAAGCTTCGGTTCAACGGCAAAGCGTGGTCCAAGCAGGCGCAAGCCACCCACAAGCTTGAATTGGCGCAACAATCGAGCAGCCGGTTAGTTTTTATAGGACGGGTCGGGCAAGATGGTCGGGCATTTGGTTGGGTGCAGCTGGTTCAAATTGGGTAGTTTTATTTATTTATTTATTTATTAAGTGACATAGTGGGTCGAAATCCAAATTTGAACAAAAACTAAACAGCCACTTAAACCCACAGCTCCCAAAATTTCTCAATGGAGCACACCATTCAATGGATGGGGAGGGAAAATTCACTCATTTTAACTAGTCATTGATTGAGGTTGAGTTTGGCTAAATGATCAGCACAAGAATTTATATCACTTCCAATATGTCTAATTTAACTTGTCATTACTTTTTTTATCATAAAAGTTCTCCTCGAAGCAATGGAAATGATATCCAAATTTTTGTTGAGTTTCTTGTATAAAATATCAACTATTTTCTTGAAATTTATCTCTAATTAAATCTTTCTATAATTTAGATTTTAAACTATTTATAAACCTTCTCAAATTAAATAGTTTTAAGATGTTACTTTTCTCGATTTTGGTTTACAATGAACTCAACCATAACACTATTCTTTTGGGTTAGAATTCAATATCAAAAGTTATTTCATCGTTACACTTGTAAAATAACATGTTAATTTAATATTGATAAATTAATGTATTAAACTAGAAATAATGTCGTAATATTTCAATATTAGTATATCATTTCAAAATATAATACCATTTGACTGCATGACTTTTTACGGGGACGTAATTTAAAAGTACATATCTTATCGGGATTCGAGTGACATTAAAATTAGATGACAGGACCACACAATTTGGGTCACTTCGGTCAACCCAAGCCAATCCTAAAACTTCAATGATTTTGGCTTTGGGTTGCTTTTAGTTTCTAATTGAAAAATCATATTACCTTGACTTTGGACATTTAAATTAACGCAAAAGAAATAAAATTTAAAAAATAATTATATATATATATATATATTCTACGTTATTAAATATCTTATAACAGATCTCTATCTTCCTTCCAAGTGTCAAATTTCACACTAAGATTTTATTTTGATGTGTTGTTTTAGTTTACGTAGGAAAGGGAAACTTTTGTACATATTTCAAAATATCTGAGGAAACTTTGGACATGTTTCAAGAGAAAACAGAAAAGATGCAAGCACGTTCGGCTTCTATCAAAATATATAAAAATCAATAATTAATTTATTGAACAAATTATGAGTCCGATATTTATTACTACAATGGAAAAAGTCTAAAATTAAAAAAATAAAAAGTAAAATACATTTTATCCCTCTTAGCGTTTGGTAAGTTGGATAAGATAAGACAAGATATGATAAATTTTAAATAAAGTATCCTGACCGCATAGTAATCTGGATAATTATCTTATTTAGTGGAAGTAACAGTTACTAGTAATAGTAAGTGTAGTATTATCTAAGTAAGTTGGATAGAGGTCGGATAAAATTATTCTACCCCTCTCCCAAATATAGTCTATCCAGATTTGATCTTATTATTATCTAAGCTCTCTCATGTCCAAACATTATCCAACCCTCTTTTATTCTGTCTACCAAACATAGTTAAGGGTGGATAAATTATCCTTATCCACCCTTATTTAGGCTACCGAATGAGTCCTTAAAATATTATGGTGATAATCTAATAGTTTAACCTTAAAATTTGTATACAATTAAAAATAATTAACAAAATTAATATGCTCATTTAATATATCATAACACCACTTAACTCACGTATTTCATAATTTATCAAATATTATCTGTAAAATAATAGTTTTTATTATAATAAAAATTATATTAATTAAAAAATTATCCCTCAACAATTATAAAATAATAGCCTTGAACCCAAAAATATTATAACCAATGAATGCTATTATTTTGTCAATTTATTAAGCGGTAGATCTTTTAATAAATTATAATTTTTTTTTATCTTAGTGAAGGCTATTATTATGTAGATAATATTTATTAAATTATGAACTAAATAAATAACGTGAATTAAGGGATATTATGATAAATTAAACAGTCTGATTAAATTCGTTTGTCATTTTTAATTGTGACCATAAATTGTAAAAAAGAAACTGTTATATTTTATATTTCAAGAGATGAATGTTACCATGAAAATATTTTTAGCGAAGTAAATTATATTTTACCCAAAAACAAATGCCAAACACATGTTAAAATTGAAAAATAATGACACAAATTTTTAATTTTTATATACAAATCAATTATCTTCTTACATTTTAAACGTGTTTTCATGTTTTAAAAGTACTACTTTTATTTAAAAAATATAGTTAAAAAAGCAAATTAAAAACCACCCAAATCCCAAAACATGAAGACTACCCAAATCCCAATTAAAATGACACAAGCAAGAAAAGAAAACGAAAATGAGGTCACATCACTTTTTGACCTTCTGTATAAGTGTTTTAAATCCGTAATCATAGAATTGGTTTATTAAGCAGTAAGCAATTCCTTTCCTTTCCTTTCCTTTCCATCATTCATTCCCTTCCTTCTCCAACACCTAACCTAACCAACTTCCAGCACTACACCTAATTAGTTAGAGCCTCTTCCGCCTCTTATGGCCTTGCACTTGAAGAAAAGCAAAAACCCAGAGGGCAATCATTGTAAGTTGGTTAAGTGTAGGTTTTCATAAGCCACCACCCCTCCCCCAAAGTCTCAGTTGTCTTCAAAGTTCAAACATTACTTGAAAACATAAAAGCAGAAAGCTCCAAAGCTGAATATAAAGGAAGAGTAGATGCGCAGCTTGGGTTAGTCCAAGGCTGAACGGTTAAGGGAGGCAGAGAGAGGGGAAAAAAAAAGAAAAAGGAAAAAAAGGAAAAGGAGAAGCAAACAATACCACGTACAATGACTACTGCAAGATTTATCAAGTGTGTCACCGTAGGCGATGGCGCGGTAGGGAAGACCTGCATGTTGATTTCTTACACCAGCAATACTTTCCCAACGGTACGAACCTTATGGTGACTGTACAATGTTTTGATCTCTCGTGAAACACCACCAAATAGAAGTTTGATGTTTACATTTGTTGTTTTCTGATTTTCTTCTTCCTTCCTCGTCTTTTTAACAGGATTATGTCCCAACTGTGTTTGACAACTTCAGTGCCAATGTTGTGGTGGATGGTAGCACAGTGAACCTTGGCCTCTGGGATACTGCAGGTAACTACACAAATAGAAAGCCTTTGAAAGTGCTTATGTAGAGCTTTTTGGCAATTAGAATATGCAAAACCTTGGCATTGGACAATTTCTATATTTTTAAGTCGAACGCATAAATTTAAAAAGCCATGTAAATAAACTAAAAGTTGAACGGTTAGAATTTTTTAGCAACACAAGCCTATTTTTAATTTTATGAATTGGTCACCCATTTTATGAGGGTTTTATTGGAGTTTAGTTTAACAAGGAGTTCATGCAGGGCAAGAAGATTACAACAGGCTAAGGCCTCTGAGTTACAGAGGAGCTGATGTGTTTCTCCTGGCCTTCTCTCTTATTAGTAGAGCCAGCTATGAAAATATATACAAAAAGGTTATCTCCATTTCCCAAAATTTTACTTTTATTCTTTTTTCTCTATGATTAAGTCACTGTTCTCTAACTGTTAATTAATTTTCTGATTAGTGTCATTCTTATTTGATCTAACAGTGGATCCCTGAGCTAAGACACTATGCTCCTGCTGTGCCGGTTGTGCTGGTTGGAACCAAGCTTGGTCAGTAGGATAAACTTCTGTAAAATATAGTGTTAACATTTGATGTATTTTCCAATCAATTTTTCTAGATTCTAATAGATGTAGACTATTTACAAATTTTGGAAGCTTTCTTTCTAGTCTGCAATATTTTATAAGAATATTATGCTCTGTTTGGTGAACCAAAATGTTCTGGCAAGAATATTATTTTCTATTTGAGAGCTTATTTGGGATTGAATTTATCATTTAATCAAAAAAGAAAAAAGTTCTGGGTATTTTCCCAGTTGCTTTAGATTAGTTTCAATTCTTGATCAAACAATATCAGAGTTCCAACTAAAACGTGTGAGCTTGAATGGATTCAGATTTGAGAGATGACAAGCAGTACCTGAGTGATCATCCTGGGCAACGCCAATAACCACTGCCCAAGTGAGTCCATCTCTTCTCGTTTGGTTTGTTTCTGAAAACTATTTCCTTCTCTAAAGAAAAGAAAATTGATAAAAGCTCACTTGGCAATATTTTCTTAAAACTGTTTTGGAAACACCCCATGTTCAAGAACTAACCTGTATGGGTATTTGTTTGAAGAGTTTTTGTGTTTCTGAAAACAAAAACCTGTTTTGTAGGTTGTTTCCCAAAGATATTTCCAAGAATATTTTATAAAAAAAAATGCAGAAAAAGAACAAAAGATTGTCTTTTTGTTGTTTTAGAATTCTCCAAATCTATTTATTTTAAAAACAAAATGACATAGAAGCAACAGAGTTTTTCAAGCTTTTTATTGCTCTCTATATTTCTAAACATAGAAAACAATACTAAAAACAGAATTTCCTAAACTATTTCTGTGTTTTTTTAAAACACAGAAAGCAAAACTATAAACAGAATTGCCTAAACTATTTTGGGATACAAAAACAGAATTCCCCGAGTTTTAGTGTATTTTTGTCTTTGAAAACATCAGAAGACAGAACAGAAACCCAAAATCCAACTCAAAATCAAAACCAAAATCACAATCATTCATGTTACAAGAATGCTTTTGGACAGGGAGAAGAACTGAAGAAAATGATTGGTGCGGTTACATACATTGAGTGCAGTTCCAAGACACAGCAGGCAAAACTCCACTTACCATTCTTCTTCATTTTCAATCATCATACTTCAAACAAGTATTTTTGTTTCTAATATTTTCCTTCTTGTTATCTATTTGGCATTTCAGAATGTGAAGGCTGTGTTTGACACAGCAATAAAGGTTGCTCTGCGCCCGCCCAAGCCCAAGAAGAAGCCCCAAAAGCCAAGGCCTTGCACATTTCTCTGAAGTTTCGAATTTAACTTTTCATCCTTACACATCTACAAATATGTAAAATTGTCAAACTTATTTCCTTTATTTTCATTTTGCTTACCATTTAATCTTCTTTTGGAACTGCAGTTAGCAAAAATGCCCCTTTTGATAGTTTAACATAATTTGATTTATTAAATTCTTCTTTTTTCTTTTTCCTTTTTTGCTAATTAATTAAACCTAGATTTATAAGTCTTCTATTGGACAATTTATCCCAATAATAATAATAATAATAAGTGCATCGTCAATTATTAATTAGCTTTAACATTTTTTAAAAATGATAAATTTAAGTTATTTTTGATTTTCAATTATCATTAGTGAAATTATGAAAAAATTAAAATAAAATTAATTGATTAGTTTTAGATTAGTTATAATATATGTTATAGTTTGAAAAGAAAGCACTAGTAACACTTTTGATTAATGCGGGTTCCCGTTCATTTGTTTTTCCTGGAATCGGTTAAGAAGGATATTTGAATAAATGAAGGGATAAAGTACACGTAATGGTTCCATAATTTTTTTGATTTGGCAAATCCGTCCCTGCAGTTTTATTTGCTCGAAATTGGTCCCTCAACTTTTATAATGAATTAAACAAGGATTAAGTGACATATCTCGTTTAGAAAACGTAAGCCGTGAACACGGAGCTTTAATGCGCAATCGCATTTTACAAATTGCGCCTCCTGTTGATTCATTTTGCAATTTATATGGTCAGTCTTAATAAAATTAAAAATACGTAAAAAAAATAAAAAATTTATGTGTATCTTTTTTTCCGAAACCACAATAAAATTACAAATATATAAAGAAAAAAAAAACAGAATTTTTATTTTTTTTTCTCTCCGACACCTCACTTTCGACACCTTCTTTATGCGCCTAAGCCTTTCTCTTTTTTGGTTGTTGGCTTGCAACTTTCTCCTTTTTCAACTTTTGTTTTCTAACTTCCCCGTTAATTGTTACTTTACATGATGATAAATTCAGAAAATATTGCTAACAACAACAAATTATTTTTTAATCAAAGCTTGTAAAAAATTAGTTAGATTTTTGAAAGTTCAGTGGGGACAAATTATAATTAATCTTATTTCTAAGTAAGGTTTCTCACAAATGTAATGCTAAGGCAACCCACTTCCTGCCCCTATTGAAATTCTATCCCTATCATCATAATAACATCACCACTAGAGATACCCCAAGCTCACCTCTTTTACCAATCTTCAGAGGAAGAAAGCAAAGTTGACTCCAAAGCACGAGTCAACTGCAATTCATCTTTAGTTACCTACATACAAGTCAGTCACATAGGGAAGTTAGTGTAATTTTTTAGAATCTCAAGAGATAAGTATAATTTCAACAAACCTCGGGGTGGTGGTAGCAATTTAACTAAAAAAAAATAAAGAAAAGGATTATTTGGACGGCTCAAAACCGAAGTTGCTGGTTACTGCCATCTAACCATTTCAGCCACCTTCGCGGGCTCTCTCTCGCACACAATATGCGAAGATTTGTCGCGGAGGAACATCACATGCACAAAAGCAAATCTCAGAATCCCTAGGTTATCTGATTCAAACTCATTTGTCTCTCTTTCTCTCTCCATGTATAAGAATCTCGTGATATGGTAAGAAAAGAATGATGGGGGCGTACAGAGCTGACGACGATTACGATTATTTGTTCAAGGTGGTTTTGATTGGAGATTCTGGCGTTGGAAAATCAAACCTATTGTCTCGATTCTCTCGCAACGAGTTTAGTCTCGAGTCCAAATCCACCATAGGAGTCGAGTTCGCCACGCGTAGTATTCAGGTCGATGACAAGATCGTCAAGGCCCAGATTTGGGACACCGCCGGCCAAGAAAGGTTTCTCTCTATATATATGTGTACGTATATGTGCATGGTAGTGTAATTGATTTTGTAGATCTGGCTAATTGTTATCCGTCGGTTGATGTTGTGCATTCTATCTGGTTGGTGACGAAACGAAGGGAGAAGAGAGGGAGGTAGAACATTTTCTGTTTTGTCTTCATTTATCTCTTCGGGTAGGGTAGTTGATGGTGGATTTCATTTTTTTTTTCTCGATATTCTCCCGAATACCCACATTGATTTTGTCTTGCCTGTTTGATGTTTTTTTAATTTAATTCATGTTTTGGGTGACATTTTATTAGCTAACAAACAGGGTATTGTTGCTCACGTTGAATTTTGGTTGGATTGTTTGCTTAGATTCCTAGTACTTCTTTCATTTTCCCTTGATTTCCAATGCTGCTGCACGAAATCTATGGTTGTAGGCTATGCGTTGTTGAAGAAGCATTAAAGTAAGAGTTAAAAATTCGTTGTTACTGCATGTTTGGCTGCTTTGCTGGTAAGATATGTTTAAGTAGACGCAAAGAGGAAGCTTAAAGGATGATATTTCCATCTTAATAAGATATTGCTGTATATAATATTCCCAGGAAATACTAAAAATTGCAGTTGGTTTCTGTAAAGTACTAATCTATTGTTTTACTCCCTGATATTTTTTATTTTCAGAAGGTATGTGATTAGAGAAGGTCATACATTTTGCTCGCTGTTCTAAATTTGAAGAAAAGCTAAAGTAATTTTCTTTTTTATGTTGCTTTATTGAACCTCAAATATTAATGCTATGGTCTTTGTCAACCATTAAGTCGAGTGAATTTAGAATCACCCCGACATCAAGATGGATGGGCATCATTTTGCACCTTTGTAGATTTTCTCTTTCGGAGGCAAAGTAGGTTAGAAAAACTACTGAATCTGGGGAATATTTTCTAAGACAATGATGGTATGTTGATTCTGCTTTTTGAACAATTACAACTAAAATTGCCTCTAAGTGTCAGATTCTCCTATGGCTACGGGTGATTGATTATTAACCCCTTCTTAACGTCTCTGATATGTAGAATAAATACTGCGGTTGTTTTCTTAATCAATGTTCATAGCTTTTATTAAAAAAAACAAAAAAGATGGAAGGGAAAGTTTAGAGGCACCAATCACCAACTTCAAGATTTGAAAGTTGGCTTATAACATCAAAATTTCGAGCTAATAGTAGTGGGCAAAAGTAAGGTTCGAAAGTTCCACCATAATCACAAAATAATAAACCTCTTCTTGCTGTTTTTATTGATACTTGATTCTTGAAAGGGAATTTCCACTTTTGAGGCTTTCAATTTTGAGAAATATGGTTGCCAAGCCTGCTGCCTTTTGCCTTATTGAAGGATTCTGTTAGATAAGACAGTTTTATTATAATTATGCTCACAAAACTTTCAGATAAGTGCATAAATTCCTTACATCTCCTTGCGAGTACATTAACCTGACAGCTGGAAAAAAAATATGAATATTTTTGCACGTCTTGTTGCATTATTACACGAGAATCCAACACTCAACAGGAGCCAAAAGCCAGCTGGTTTCCTCTGAATTGTTTAATAAATTAGGCTTTTAATATCCTTTCTCCAATTCATGGTAGTAGCATGAGCACACTGCACAAGTAATTTAAGGGTAGATGTAAACCATTGGCAGTTATACAGATTGCATAAGACATACAACACTGCTCAGCTTAAGAAAGCCTTCTCCATATTAAATGAGGTCCGCGGCGTGAAATTTAGGTCACCATTTCGCTCTATCATGGGCCACATATTTAATCATAACAGAATAAATCTTTCCTCGCAATTTAACCCCTACATCTATTATTGACTGCAGTCAAACCATAGTTTTTATTCCTAACGAGAGCTTCAACTCCTCAAAAAAGACATTTATATTTCCCAGTGTTATGCTTTATAACTTTTCATCTGATCTAAATTTATTTGCCAAAGGTACCGAGCAATCACAAGTGCATACTACCGAGGAGCTGTTGGAGCTCTACTAGTGTACGACATCACCCGACATGTTACGTTCGAAAATGTGGAGAGATGGTTAAAGGAGCTTCGTGGTCACACAGACTCCAACATTGTCATCATGCTGGTCGGGAACAAGGCAGACCTACGTCACTTGCGTGCTGTGTCTCTTGAAGATGCCAAGTCCTTTGCAGAGAAGGAGAGAGCATTTTTTCATGGGACATCAGCTTTAGAGTCTCTAAATGTTGATAATGCCTTCACGGAAGTTCTAACACAAATATATCACGTTGTAAGCAAGAAGGCGCTTGAAATAGGTAACGATCCATCTGCTTTGCCCAAGGGACAAACGATTAACATTGGAACCAAGGATGACGTATCGGCAGTCAAGAAAGGAGGATGTTGCTCTAAATGAGTCTTGGTATATTTGCCCCTTGCTCATATTTACTGAGATTGAAATGCAGATTATTTTCTCTTAAATAGAAATCGTGCCTTCGATGTTTAGGAAGAATGGTATAGTCTATGTCAACACAAGGTTTAGGATCTTAAAGAACAGGAGAAGCTTCAGCCCTTACCCCTTTCCCATATTTCTTTCATTTACTACTTTTCTTTAGATGCTGTGCTATTGCCACCGTCTCTTGCCTCCTCTTGTTTCAAAATTACAGCCGGACATGCATTTGCACAGGGAACAATCTTCTGTGTGTTTCTGAAAGTGCATCTTCGCCAATTATAGTCCCGTATATTTATTTTGATGCTAGATAATATCTCAAACATCAATGCAAAACAAAAAGAATTGTTCCTCGTGTTGATTAGGGCATGGAAACGAAACAATCTCCTTAAAGCTAAAAAGGGCATCTAAGGACACGACAACCTAGGAAAAAGCGGTGCTGAAAGAGGCTTACTTCCGTACATAACAAGGTGAAGAGTCCGTGGCCGCCTGACAACATGCCACTAATTTGAATTTCTCACACCCTCAATCAGGACTTTGTCTCTCAAATGAAACATAAGCATTTCTTACTGGCAAATAAAGATATCTTTACGAGAGTTCAAGGAAAAAAGGATATCATCATCAAAGTTCAGGGAAAGCCACCAATTTAAAAGAATACCTTCTTTACGGAAACACTCGTGAATAACTATTTCTCGTTTTACAGAAAAGCCAAAAGCGTACATTAGATAATATACTATTTGAGATCAGCGGTTGGCCAAGAGGGTGAAAACCAAAAATGATTTCTTTGCTCAAACATATATTCACGAACAACAGAGTTACCCTTTAAGCTAGCAGAGAAACAACATTCTTCAATCTATGCATCCAGCAAGAAAACTTGTGATGACCATCCTAAACTCACCAAGCTCACGCATGAACCAAGGTTAACTTCCAAAGAAGCCTCCATTTATGCCCAGGCGCTGCCATGGATTCTCCTGCTTAAGTATTCGCTATCTGTATAGGTTCATAAATCTTAGTAGCAGTACATATGGGAAATGAAAAGGAAGATTGTAAGTGTAGGAATTATTTATGATACAAAATCTCGGATTAAATGACATGATCAAGGAAATATATAGAAGTGGGGGAATATAATCAAAATCAACGTATACCAAATGCAATTCTACACCGCAATAAAACAACCAAGTACAAAAGCCATTTAGTTGAAGGCACAGAGATAAATTAGTTAAGCAAATGCTCAAACAATTCTGGGAATTGTTCATGTTGCAATGTTGGATTAGAAATCCCAAAGAAACTCAGATTAGGCTCAGCCAACAGCGAAATAGAGTAAGCAACTGGTTAAATATTTAAGACACTTCATAAATACAAAGTTTATGGAAGTTGAAGCAAATGATTCAAGATATGTCTTTACAGTAGTTTTAAATCCATGGAAAATAACAAATCCCTGGTAGGCTTTTGTCAATAAACAATTCTGTGAGCCTCTCTCTACCATTAGAAATGATGCTACATGGGAAGACTGTAGAAAATGAAGCATTTGAAGATGTCCTCCTCAGCAAAAAGATTTTCACATTTTGTTCTATTTGTATTGCAAAATATTTGGTATTTGTATGACCATCTATTGTCATCATCATCGTTAATGTTCTAGTCATGCAATCATTTTTATGTCACATCTTCCTAAACCCTAAATGTTGTAATATAGGATGTGCATTTAATATTGGACTGGAAATGTAAACCCGTCCTTACATTTAACTTATCAGTTTTCTATAATATTCTAATACAAAACATGTTATTGATTAAGAATTTAATTGGCACTAGCAAGATCCAACCAAAATTTTTGTTCATCACAAATTAGAGTTCCTATTCTTTCAAGTATCACTAATATTTAGAAAACCCAAATTTCAATTTAGGAACAAGAGCCTAGCATGTATCTCATAGCCTTTACCATTTTTACAGCTGGAGGAATGAGCTAGGAGACCACATCAATCCAGTAAAATGGCTTCTAGGAGGCCCTCAGAAAAATATAATATACTAAAAGAACTTTAAAAAAAAAAAGAAAAAAAAAAAGGAAAAAGGAAAAAGGAAGAGTTAGAAGGGAAAGTATGAAAAGAATTTATTTAGTTCTTCAATATGCATTTTAACATGAATAGTTCTAAAAAGACCATGTATTTTAAATGCACAAATTTATAAAAAGGAAAATTGTAAAAGTTTGGAATAATATAAACATGTCTACCCTATCCAATGGCTTAAATCATGCAGCATAGAATGCTCCCAACATGGCATATTAAAATGTTCCACTTCAAGGTAACAATGTTTAAGCCCACCTGGCAACAAATCCAAGAGAAGCAAAAGGCCCATGCAGATGCCTTAAGAATACTGGATCATAATGCAATTTGAAGGTCAAATTGGCCAAATATTACAAGCTGCAATATAGAACAGTAATTTAAAAAAAAAAAGGACTTATGAAGCAATAGTTAGTTAATGTTCTGCAATTAGTTCCAGAAGTAAAAGGTCACAAAGTGCCTAAATGGTTAGTAGTTCTGAATCATCCCCCAGGTGATGTAAAATTTAATTTTACTCTTGTACCAAGGGCTGAACTTGAATAAGTTATCGGGCAAAATGGTTAATTTCAAATGCATAACCTTGTACTATAGTTTGTAACATATGGTATTTATGAGTAAGAGCTAATTCATATCAACTCCTCATGCAGCAGTAATTCAATGAATGAACAAACATACACCGTAAGCAAAATGTCACTCAAGCTCAGAGAAGCATCTAGGACATGGTACTTACAGCAGCACCAAGGAAGAATGATAAACTGGGGAGTCAAATTCCAGTATAAAGTGATTTAATTCTTGTTAAAGTAATTTAATTCATATAAAAATAAGTAAGTAGCCATAAGCAACTGCACATAGGTCTATAATGAGAGTCTAGCTGGCCAGATAGGTGGACGTCCAATTATCATATCTCCCCAAAATTTTCGCATTGTTATATGGGCTGCGCATCCATTATTGATTCAGAAAGGTATACTCAGCCTGACATTTAAATATAATGCATTTGTATAATATGCCATCACAAGATGTGTTATTGATTAAAAATTTTACTTTGCATGGATGGATCTAGAATTTTTTTTTTTTTATTTTCACTACACATTGAGCTTCTATTTCTTCAAGTACGATTAATTTTTAGAGAACCATCTCAATTTAGGAACAGTTGTCTAACACGCAAGTCATATCCATACTGTTATTACATTGGGTGGAGAACCTATAAAAAAGAATAAATATAACGAACTAATTATAAAAATTGCACGGTTTAAAGTGGTAAAAAGAAATTAATGATTGTTCTCCAAGAAATGTGTTTTTAACATGATTAGTTCTAAAAAATTATATTTTTAAATGCACAATTTTATAAAAAAGGAATTGCTCCAGAAATGCCTAAAACTCTAGCATCATACCATGTTACTGACCCCTTTGGCACACCAAAAAGTTACCACTTCTAGGTGATAATTTACAGTTAAAATTCCTGCCAAGAAATTTAAGAGAGACGAAAGGACTGTGGAGATGCCTTCCAAGTCCTAAAATTCCTATTAGTTGACTTGATGCTCTCTAGCTCATAGCATGATTTGAAGGTCAAACTGGCAAAAACTAAAGACTTGGCATGAAAAAGGAAAGAAAAAGACTTTGGCAGCAAAAGTTGTTTTGGTTGTGCAATTAGCTCCAAAACTGAATAATCAAGAATGAGGTCTAGGCCAATAGTAGTCATGACAGTGCTGGAACTTTCACTGCAAACAAGTATGAAAACAATAAATGATGTGCAAAACACAAATTTTCACTTATACAGTGGCTGAAAATAATAACTTATCAGCCAAAAAAAGGTTTCCATTCAACTGCATAACCTTGTATTATAAACTAAATAACATCTGTATCCAAACAGAAAATTAAGCACAAAAACTATTTTATTTCAACTCTTCACTGTGCACTAACTCAAAGGGAGGAAGCATTCTATGGTAAAATGCAAACTTCCACTCCAATTTAGACAAGCATCTCATACCAACAGCAATACCAAGTGTGATGAAGTACTGGTAGAACTTAGAATACTTGAAGTATTCTAGTAAAGGCACAGTTAGATTTCAGAAGAAGGAAAAGTCCCTAGCAGAGAAATAATAAAATTAAGCCGTTATCATGCAGCAGAGCCACGGGACAACTGCATAAGTCATAACAAAGAAGCCTACAAACCCCAATATAAAAACCAATATCAAACCCAAAAACCATGACTGAGGAGCGAGGGCTCATTATTACTGCTTGAAGTTCCTGTAGTAGTCTTTTATTTCACAACTCCAAAATAGTGCACTTGCAAGAACGCAACCAAGGTAGTTCTTGTTTCTCATAATCTCTAATACAAAACCATCATCCAAAAGCACCAATTGATTTAGCCAGCCAAATTTTCCAAATCAATCAAGACAATCCCACAAAAAACACAATTTCCCTTTAAAACATAACCAGATAAATCAAATTCAAATTAACATCTACATACATATATGTTAAGTTAGAAACACCCAAATTTACATTATCAATCAACACAATCCAAAATTCAGTCGTAAACACGTAACCAAATAATGAGTCAAATTCAAATAACGCATCCAATTCATGATCAGAACAACTCCAAATATAAACATCTATATACGTCTATGTGAAATTATAAAAAACTTAAACTTACAATATCAAACATGAAAACAAATCATCAATCAAATAAAAAATGACACCCAATTTATGACCACGACAGCTCAAAGTATCCACATCTACCTACATATGTGACATTACAAACCCAAATTTACAGTCTTAAACATGAAACCATATCATTAATCGGATCCAAAAAACACCATCCAATACATGACCGGCAATAGGTCAGAATATAAACATATGCACAAACGTATAGCGAACATAAAACTCGAAAACACTCACCAACAAATTGGGGAT